TACACTGCTACGGTCATTAAGATGTTATCGACTTCCGGGATGGGACCATGTCAATGTTGAATAAAAATTCAACGTTTGGCCACTTTCATAAGCGGCTTCATCAGGACTTCTTTGTCCTAGTGACCTAAGCGCTATTTTGGGGCGTCAAATATTAGAAAGGTAAGTGGGGATGCGTCCGGGAAAAAAAGAGTGTCATTATCCGGTAAACTAGTAACGGAAAGCCACGTTTGGCTCTCACGAATGTAGAAGGTTCAAAAAAATTAATTAAGATTTTCGATTAAAAATGCATATTACTATTACACCAAGTCCTCTCTTGTCCATTGTCCGAAAACATTCTGAAAATGTGTCTTTGTTTGCCGACAAAGTGGTCTAAGGCAGAGGAGATTATTTTGAATTTCAGGTTTTATGAAACATTGGTCCATTTGCCTAAGAAATTTGTAACAGAGCATTTTAGTAAATTCGAGCTAACCGTGAATACTTTACCGTAAACAGTCACGATTTAAATAAAAACGTTCAGGGATTTCACCGCCCATGCCACATAAGAATTGAATGGCGCTGGAAGGTAGGTAGGTTTGTTTTGAAATACCACACTTATGTTATTAATCACAAAATTTGGACTCTTTTTAATTTCGGTATTAATATAAGAATATGTAATTATTAAGCTTTCCTTATTTTATGACTGGGAAATGAACAAATAAGCTAATGAATCCTAAACGTGGTCATGAGTGCATTAAAACATTTTTAGGTAAACACCACCCTAGGTGATTTTAGTTGTTTTTTCAATAACAAAACAATACAAATATAATGAGCAGTGAACAAATTATTCAATTAAAATTTGCATAAATTGCCCAAGGCAATAATGTAAAACGAGTTCGTTTAGAAAAGCAATACGAATTTCAAATCCATTAGGATGGCGGAGTTTCAGTATGTTATCAAGCGCTAAAAGCGTCGTTTATTGTATTTATACCGATGCTAAAATTTTAAACAACGGAAATTTGGAGAATGAAAAACCATCGAAGCGTAAGATCAATAACAACGGTAGCAGTAGCAGCAACATTTATCCGAAGGTAGATTAGATAAGAGAAGAGTAAGCTCGCGAAATCAAGAATGCGACTGTTTCGAAGTAATGGCTCCCCATAGCCATCACATTATTCCAGAACGATTCCAACGCCCACTCAACTCAATCAATACGACATCTGAGTGTTGATAACAAGAAAAAATTCTGGTTCCACTATACAATTGCTGCATTAAATCACGGTCTTGTAATATCGTATTACTGGGCGCAACTGTTTGTGATTTTATCTAATTTATTACCGAAATCCCTGTACGGAAATTACTAACGTCTCAATCTAAATCAGCTGTAATAAAAAAGTTACTCGATCGTTCCTATCCCAGTACAAATAAATGAAACCGTATTTGGGAAAAAGCTATATTTCTATGCGCATCTTGATTTGTATACGCAACCGAGCGGAAAAGGCAGAAGCATCGTTATATTTTACAATGAAATACATCAGGCTGCATTCGAAATGCATTTGTAATTGCGTTTACACTGAAAGATAACGATAATGGCCGCGTTACTTGCAATTGCAACGAATTAGAAACTTTCTGCCTTTCAATGAAAACAACGGCATGCAATAAACCATTTCGAAGAAGAAACTTATCGGAGCGTAATCTTCCAACAAGTTTTAATTATCAAAATCGAGTTTTATTCTTTTTTTGTCGTCATTAGCCCCCTTTCTAATTACTTACGGCTTTTTACTTAAATTCGGTTCGGTTACTTTCTTTCGGTTGCCAAATGCTCGCTAAAGAGACAAGGGCGTGTAAGTCAATAATTTTGCGTTTATACAAAGGACATGACTGAGGCGCCTAATTTGAATTGTTAATGGAGACCGAGTTAGTGAAATTGCAATGATCACTCTGTACAATCGTATGTGAATAAGGTGCATCTCAAAATATACCAAAATGTAAAATGTGAAACAAGAACAAGAACTTATTTTCAAGTAGGTAGATAATTATTATTAGTCTCTAATTAGGTGAGGTTTCAACAGCCTACTGTAGTGGAAGGATATTTATACAGAGTACCTAAATTATAAGGGGTGGGGCCGAGTAATTAATTGATTGAGGTGCGTAAAGTTAGAACGAGTTTGGTTATGTAGATTGCAGGAAAATAAATTTATTAAAAATCCTATGTTTATTGGAACAGCGCACAACAGTTATATATTTTCTGAAATGTTGACTAAGTACATGACGTGATGTCAGACAGTGATGCAGTCAACAGGTGAAATGTTGAGCGTTGGCAATTCAATCGATTATAATTCCGTTTTGATTAATTTGTTTAAATAAGGGATTATTTAACTAAATATGCATAGGTAGTGAGGTACAACTAATTTGTATTGTAGTTCAGGTGAATCGTAAGACGTAAAGTAGTACGGATACTGTATGTCACATTTTTAATTTATTACTACTTACTTCGGTACATTGAAATCATGGGAAAATACTAGCAACATGTTAAAAAGTAGTTACATAGTGGGGTTAATCAGACGTGCTATAATTTGTTTATACATAAACTATGAAAATAAATGATTAATCCACTAATATTATTAATGCAAGTCTGTACCCAAGTCCCACAACGAACTACAGGAATCGGTGCTTCACAATTGCAGGGACTTGGACAACTGGGCAAGACAGTATACTTCTCAGTGTGATGTGTACTATCTCTTACATTAAAACTGAGGAAGTCATTATCTCAAATCACAAAGAAAATGGAACCTATATCATACTAGAACTGAATGATGAAGGAATATCTATACGTAAAAGTAGTTTCTCAAAAAATATGTGATATAAATGATCCAAATGTCATTACTTTACAATAAAGAACTTGAAGCAAGACAACTGATTTAAAATTATACAACATAATAAACAGTAATTAATGTTTATGGTGTAGCAATTAGACAAAGTATTATCAAAAAGAAAGTAGATGCGATACAATTTGTACGGCAGCTCTAAATTTTCATTTAAATTTTTTTGAAATTAAGTAAATTAATAAGTTAGTTAAAGTTAGTGATTTTGAGATTTCTAAGGGTAGAGTCGTTTAGGCATATCATAGAAATTCTATGGAGTGTCGACATTTAGAGGGCCGATTTTCCGATGAAGTGTTTATTCAGTGGAACTGTATTATAAAACCGTGGTGGAAATGAAGCTTGTCGTTTAATTTCTGTAGAGCATTGTTTTTGCCTAGATACAGGATGTATGAGGTCAGTTTAGCGTCGGGGAAACTGCATCGTAGCATAATGTTGGTGGGTGCGAAGTCACATTTCGGCAGTTGGCCTAGGGTGCTACATTTTGACAGTTTGGCCCCGGGATACTATATTTTGGCAGTATGGTTCAGGGTATTCGATTTTGGCAGTTTGCCTGGGTGCTTTGGCAGTTGGCCCCGGAGTTGTTTTGGTAGTTACACTAGAGGTCTCATATTGCGGTAGCGGTATTTTGGCGCTCAATACACCTGGAATTTTGAGTTATAAAGTCTATCCCAAATATTTTGGCAATGGGGGTATCAATTATAAACGATCTCGAGGATTGAATGAATGTGAACTCTTTGGGCTAACGTATACACCCAAACCTTTAATTGAATTTAAATCTATAAAATGTACATTATTTTCCATTTTCAAGATCTTTCCAATGACGTATCACAATTCACAAGCGATTCGTCACAATCCTAATCATAATGGAGGGTACAAGGTTGATGATGGCACCTTATTTGTGTGGTAATTCGCTTCGATCATAGAAAAAACGGTTTTGGGCATGTTGTGATATAGAAAAAAGATATCGCCGCCTATTGAGTTAAATTTTTTAATGCAAAAGTCCAAAATTGTTTTCATTCGGCATGATGAAAAAAAGAATACAACTCTGATCGTTGCATTTTTTCAACTTTTAAAGATGAAAATGTAAGACATGATCCCACAGGTTGACTTCTAATGAAATACAAGTCCAAATTAACAGAATTTTTATCAGATCACTAATCCTCGAGCATAAGTGATACTGATTGAAGTGGAAGTTGCAGTAACTAATTGGTAATTGAATGTTTGGTTTATTTCAGATGTAATTGATGTTACTAACTCATAGATTTATTGTTTACCTATGGTATCTATGTACCCGAATGGCGAATGTTTACGCCATTGTTGTTAATCTATTGTTATCTTTGATTTTTTCTACACGTTAGTTAAATTATTGGGTATCGGCTTCCAGATACTCATGTAGGTAGGTAGTGGAAGCCGATACCCAATAATTTAACTAACGTGTAGTAAACCTAACGGCAAGTCCTCCTTGTGGTGATTTTGATTTTTTGCATAATTGGTTAAAACTGTTGAGAAAATAAGTATTATATCAGGAAATAATTATTTTTAATGTCATATATTAGTATGAAATATGACTTAAAACCGATCGTTCAAAATATGCATTTATATAGCTTTTAGATTTAAATATCGTCTTTTCTCGGTCGTCTTATTTGCTTTAGAAATCAAGAAATCGGTTTTTGCCCATAATTTATTATGTAAAGGTTCAATTCTGCAAATTCTGGTCGTTTTAAACTCATCATATCGGAGAAAATGTCTTAACTGTTGATTTCAGGAATTTTTTATTTATGAGTTTTAGTCATAATTTTTTAAAGATGCTTAGTTACTTACTTTTTTTAGAAATTAGTTTTGTGCTCATATCTTTTCATTTAGTTGGTTATCCGGCCGTGGCATCTGAATCCCTATGAATTAGTGTCATCTAAATACTGTCCATTGGTACATCGAATGTGTTTTATCGAGTGACGAGCAAAAATTAGCATCAGTTTGTCATTTTAAATCTAATGCTAATGTTGTATTATTATAAGACTATACTGTATACAACATTGAAGTTAGACCTGCAAATAATGGAAGTCGAGAATACATTACGCTCACAAATTGAATAATTCAACTACTTACCAACTATCAGACTGAAATAATATTGTTCTGATCTAAGAATAAATTTACTAATATTTAATTAAGAATAAGAATAAATTTACAATAGAATCTATACAATGAAGAATTTTAGATAGGTATTGTGTTTTATATACAAAGCATGATATGAGAATACGCCTAAAGTATGATGATACAAGTCCATTTATTGCACATGTGACGACCCACTTCGTTAAAGTCACTCTCTTTTATAAATTGTAGACACAAAAAAATCACTATCGGAGCACCTTTTTTTATTACAAATCGATAAAGTTTAACGAACGCATAGTGAATTTATTGTTTACTGTTCTAACATTTATCTTGTTCGACTCACGTCAACCCAAATACTGAAATGGCGGATAGGGAGCTGGAAAATATCCGGGGAAAGCTGCCGTAGGCTGAACGGGAACCGATGCCGTCATATAGGTTGTCAATACAGTTGGAACTACCGTTGTTGATAAAATTGTCGTGTACAGCGTCTTCGCGCCGAAGGTAAGCTTTAAAATCTTACTTTCCGTTTCAGTTACTACAGTCGTTTGAACGACCGGTGAACTTGTTACAGCAAATTGCTGCGGCTGCTGGAATAATCCGCCGATGGGCGCAATCGGAAGATTTGGTATGCTTGGTATGCCTGGCGAAATTGTACTTGTGCCGAATTCGTAGTCTGTCTTAGTTACGGTTCCGAGAGCTTTGGAGATTGTGGTTAGTATCGTGCTGTGGCCGTTGAAAAGCGGAAGAACGTGCGACTCGTACACGGTCTCAACTTTAACAACGGGCTTAGACGTAGTAATCACCTGACCTTGAGCCGCCGCTGGATTGAGCAGCCTGAGTAAAGCGATTTGCTCTGGTGTCAATCCGGGGATTGACAATGGATCGCTTACCGGCGGTTTGGGCGAGGTGGGAGGGTGAGCCTTTTTGGACCGTAAGTGCATGTGAGCGGACAAGTTTGACTTGTCCACGTCGGAAAGGTCGAAGTTTGAACCGACATTGGCCAAGTCTAAGTCTGCTGGGAATACTCTCCGTGGTAAACCTTCGGATTCGTTGTCATTCTCATCGCCAAATGCCAACTCGAGGTTGAGCTCGGAACCTGCCTCGTCTAAGTAGCTGTTGAATTCGTTCAAGGTTTTGCTAGGGACGAAATGGTAGGCGTCCATCGGTGGTAGCGTTTTGGTGGCAGTTACGAAGCGCGTCACTAAATAAGTCTGCACGAGAGTATAGCTGGATGTGATGTTGCCACCTCGAACCGCTGGCAAAATGTGCGTCTTTAGCATTGTTTGAGTGGTGCTGAACGTTTCAGTCATTGTCTCCAGCGGTGGAGTTTCCATGTCGGACGCCATGTAGAGTGGCGGTAAGGTTGCTACGCTTGAATCCAGGAAGTTGTTATCTTTTTCATAGTGGGAAGCTGTTGCCAAGATGTTTTCGGTTAATGGTTCGCCATGCGTCGGAACGATGGCGTTGTCAGCCGAAGAGCTTTCAATGGTTCGCTGGAACGTTGACGTCACAGTGACGTATCTGGTATTTTTAACAGTACCGATCTGAAAATTTTGTGTATCTACGTGTGACTTGCAGTGCTTTTCTTACCTTAAAGGTGTATGGAGACTTTATGGTAGCAATTTCATAGTAGGTGTCTTTAAAATCGGGGGGAGTAGAGATTTCCACTTTTAGGGTTTCTAAAGGAAAGGCGCCGTCCACTTTATTGTCAGTTGATGCTTCATCATCAACCGCGGTCGTAATCGATTCTGATCCGACCAAGCCTTCCACATCGTCGGATTTGGAATGAGAAGAGAGGTCAGATTCAGAATATGAGTGAGTAGTGACGTTATTATTCTCATCTTCGCTTTGTTTTCTAATGGTCACTCTAGGTTTGGCAGTCGTTTTATATTGCCACCTGCCAGGAGCGCGATTAAGTTTAAATTTATAAAGGCTAGTTGATCCAGATGACTGATCAGCATTTGAAGGATGAATCTGAGAAGCACGAGCTTTGTAACTTCTTCTCGACGAGCCCGTGTTCGGCTCTGGCGCTGCGGTACTTGTCTTCTGTTTTGAGTTGGAACTTTTGCGAGGTTGGAATTTCCTCGAACCCGATGATGCTGGGGTTGTGGTCGGAGGCGGATCGCTGTGTACAGATACAGTTGCAAGTCGTGCAGTTTTTCCACCATTTTTTTTATTACGTTTGTGCGGTCTTTGTGATGTGTGCTGTCTGTATTATTTACAAGTGTGTTAGTGCACATTGTTTTGTGTTGCTTTACTGCTAGAGTAAAATAATACTTACTTTGGCGTGCTCCTCGATGCTTGAGTAGGCCGCAGCTTGCTGCCCGCCCGTTTCGGTGTACTTGGAGTCGTGATATCCCTTGCTTCATTTTCTTCGGGACTTTCTTGTTCCTTTACACGATTCTTGAATCTCTTAGAGCTCGGTTTACGAGACGATTTAGGAGTTTCGACCGCAACTGCAGTTTGAATGACAACAGAACTCGCAGGCGTTGGCTCCAAATGATGCTTGTTTGATTTCCCTAACGAAGGAGCCGCTGTTTTCAATATCCTCAACGTCGGCGAAGGTTTAATTTTGCCTTTTTGCGAATTTTGTTGTTGAATGTGAGACGTACTTTGTAAAACTTGCGCGTACTTTCCGGCAATATAAGTTCCAATAACTTTCGTTTCATGAACCGTTGTAACACCGTCTTTAACAATAGTTCCTCCTAATTTTGTAACTAATCCCGTGGGATGTAGAGGATCGGAGCGTGCCGTCGAACTCTGTTTGTTTTTATGCTCTGCCGAAGGACGCGGTTTTAAATGAAACTTTGAGCTAGGTTTTAAGTTTATTATTTTATAAGTTTCTTCTACGACTTCTGACGGTTGTCTTGACAGAAAATCATATTCCGGCTCCCCTATATTGTTACCAACAACAATTGCCTCTTCCGCTGCCTGTACATCAACATCGCTAGACAGATCTGGATGTGGGGTTACCAAGCTAGAACTTGGACCTTCATAAACTTCTACGCGACTTGATATGACAGCGGGCTGTTCCACTTTTGACGTTCCCGATATTACTTCAACTTTAGTTACAATACTCTTTGATGAAACTTTACTGGCCGGAACTGCCACAACTTCAATTTTACTCTGTACGTCTTCGTGCGAATTTACAACGCTTGGCAAACTTTGTACTACATTTACCTTGGATGAAGGATCCGATACAATTTCTACCTTACTTAAAATAACTGCGGGTGCTTTCGATTGAGCACTAACCACGCCAACGGTGGAGATCTTTTCGGTTTTCTCAGATGGCTTATTCTCAGTTTTAGTTTGCGTTTTACTTGGTTTTATAGTTGGTGGAGGCTGTGTTGCGGCAGACGTTACGGGCTGTGTATCTATAACTGCGTTTACTGCCTGTTCTGTGGTCTTGTCTTTTTCGGGATCTGAAACAAACGATCCAGGATTATACGATCCTGTTTATTATATGTCTTATGAGTGTCTAGAATCGATGAGCGCCGTAAACGGTTTACGATTACCGCCAAATGATTTTGCAGTTGTTACACGTAAGTACGAAATTAAGGGAGGTTGAAAAGGGCTCTTGCCAGTAATAAACTTTCCTCTTCAGTCTACTTTAATTGTTAACTACTACTGGCTGTCTAAATCCTTCTATTAGAAACGTGCACGTATAGGTAGTAAGTTGCGCTTTATACAATACCTGGCGCAGCACTTTGCGGTGAAAATACCATCACCGTATTGCCAATAGTTGTAGTAAAATCGAGGAAACCGTACACCGTTTGCGTAACAAAGGAGGGTTGAATAGAGCTTGCTGTTGCTATCGAGGAGCTGATGAATACAGGGCCTCCGATACCATATCCTAGACGGCCTGAAACAAACCACCAGTCAATAACTTACTTACATAATACAAATCCTAATTAGCTACTAATTGGTTTGGCATTTTTAGGGCGTTTGAACATATTCAGTGAACATTCAACAACATAAATTATTACTCGAGCTTGTAATTTCGCCGCATGTTACAGCCTTTATTGTATAGGTACGTAAAACTGCTAACATAATGTTTCCCTAACATGTTCTAGTTCACAAAATATCCAATAAATTTATCAATTTCATTTATTTCCTTTTATTTTTTGTATTAAGGAAATAATATAATCAAATTATCCGTTGTGGGAAAGATTTAAAGAACTTAGAAGCTTTAAGAAATTTAGTATAATAATTGATTACCTATTTAACCTTATTTTGAGATTTCAAAATTATTTTTATGTACGACTGCTTGATAATGCGGTGATTACAGTCGCAATTAGTGGCCATAATTTGCAATATTATGGCCTAGTCCATAATGATAAATAACAACGGCCGCCTGTAAATGTGACAGTCGTACTTAGGTGTCAATCCAAGGTAAATTCAAGTATTTTAGAAATACTTGACATCTGTTGTCAATGATATATAGATTTTATCGTTTATTGAATTCCATGAAATTTTCATTTTTAAGGGTTGTTGCAGTCGTACATAAAGCTTTGTATATATCGCGTCCATAAATAAGCTTTATGGGGACTCGCCTTGTTTATTTGTGCCTCGCTCGGAAGCTCGCTCGGCTAAATAAACGGCTCGTCCATAAAGACCCAGTTTATGTACTTGATATATAAATAGCTATTCTATTGAAGATGTTTAGATTAAAAGCAGGAGGCGGTAGGTTAGTGGTATGGACAGTAGCATACAAACACGCAGGTGCTGGGTTGCTCACTAATAAATAGGCTTTGGCCTTCTTCCTGCTCGAGGTGAGGCCGACTTATTAGTGGCCTCTATATGCGCGTGATTGGGTTAAGTAGGCGCAGTCTATAAGATATCGACTGCATTAATCTATTTGTACCATTTTGTAGGCGGTTTTCGTAAAATTGAGAAAGTAGGGAGGGTTTGTTTTTCGAACATTAATCGGTAAGCGGTAGCGAGAAACCAATCGCGAACTTATTACGTGGATGAAATACTACGCTTAAAAAAATTCATTAAGTCACGGTTAAGTTAACAAGTGAGCGCGAAAATAAAGAGGAAGTTAATTACGCGGTAGACCGGACGGATATTTTACTAAACAGACAAAGTGGCTATTTAAAAAAAGTTAGTATAATTTTAAGCACTGGATTTTTTGATACTAAATTAATAGTGATGGTATGTAGGACTGTAGTCGTCTGCGTCGTTGTGGAGTAGCAAGTTTGAGAAAATTTTTCCAGAAACAATGTAATTATTCGCTGCAGCCAGAAGAAGTCATCTCACAGACTCCTCGGCAGATATTATGATCAGTTAGGGAAGATTATTGCACAAAACCCTATAAAAAGTACCGTTAGAAATTGTTTTAAAAGTAAATCATAAACCACAAGCTTGCCTCATCGGAAACGTACCTACCTGTAGAGATGCATAATTCGCGCCATTTGTTGTTCAACACCGGTTATTGATTTTGCTTCAAAAAGTGCTTTTATAAAGGGCTACATTTGCATTGTTATGAGCGTAAAACAGTGCACATAGAATTAGTAACGGATTTATCCACAGATGCAGCATAAAGGAGGTTTATTAACCGGCGGGAAAAGCCTCCGAAGATTTACAGTGATAATGGACAACATTTGTTCGGCTAAATGGCATCTTATGGTGCAATTAAAAATGGAAACGATTTCGTAGCGAGCTTTTTTCAAAACAAAGTATTTTGTGATAGTTCATGTCTTCAAGAGGGCTCTAAACTTAATTAATTAATTAATACTTAAGAAAAACTTATTCTGAACTAAATATAAATAAATTCACTTGTGTATAAAGCTAAGCACGTTACGATACCTATACCAAACTGTTTGGAAATGGTGTTGCCGAGATAAATAGCAATGCGTTATGCTCGCATGCCAGGATCTTCATCTATTTCATACTTTAACATTATTAATTTCTGAATCTACAGAAAACCTCATAATTATAATAGTTGGTTACGTCGTACCATATTGCATCTATTCATGCCCACTGAAATTACAATTATAAACTTTTGATGAATACGCTTAATTCTATTTATATGTAAATTATCGTAACACATCTATTAGGCAGTCATGAATTTGCGATTAGCATGAATGGAATTACTAAACTACAATTTATTTGCAATATCCGTGCATTTTCCTGAAAGCTTGGAGGGAAATGATTTTTCAAGAGAGTTTCACCGTTAAAGAATAACGTAACAAGTTAAGAAGCTATCTGATTAGCTAAGTGATAACTGTTAGAGTTATAGTGCAATGTAATCGTCAATAAATACAATTTACAACAAGCGCTTCTAATAAAAACGTCCTACATTATAATCGATAAAGGATAAGTGTAGTTGACATTAAGTGCCACGCTTGTTTGGATCTAGGGAGGTAACCTACCACTTAGAAATGTTTATTAATTTAGTCAGCTGGGAACGAATTTTGTGTTAAATTCCGTTTATATGCATCAATCAAGAGTAAATGGAAAATTCTAGTAACAAAATACAAATTGAAAATTGTCCTGTTAGTAATTTACGAAACTCATCGTGATTAATTAGCTTTCTAGTTTTATAAACGTTGTCATTGTCATGTTATAATTACAACCGATCATTGTTAATTGAATTTTTTTTTGGGCAGGTGTATCCGGAAAACAATAATTGTTGAACTGTATCCTCATAAAAAATGTTTCTATGGTTTTCCTAACACCGGTTGAGTGTGCCGTCGTTAAAGAGGTTATGTTTGTGGTGTGGGTAGGGTACTTTTCACCAATCAAGAGCTCTTGAGATTTATGACCCTAGAAAGTCGATAAGCTTCATAATCATAAAATTTCTTATATAAAACTCATTTACGGGTGCTTTCATGCCGTTTTTACAGCGTTAAAATTAAAATTCCACCATCCTGTCGTCGTATACGTCTATCTACATAAAGAAAATGAGAGGTTTATTGAAACCTTTCAGATTTTGTGTAGGCGGTTCTGATCGCTTTTGTGCTCATGGTTGAAGTTATCCACTCGTACAAGAAAACATCTCCGGTGTTAAGTCATTACAACTTACAAGTACCCCAATTATGTACAAAATAATCGATGAATAGCAAGGTTTGTGGTAACCACCTCGATGAGTTGATAAGAGAATATAAAAAATAATGCTATCATGTTATGCAATGCAAATAAAGAGCAACTATTACAATACAGGACTTGTTGCTATATGAGGTACAAATAGGTACCACTTGCGCGGTGAAAGCGCAATTTATGTTAAACCTCCCCGAGCTTAATTTTTTATTAGATAAACGCGTGAAGAAAATTCAATGGGACGCGTGATTTACGTTCACGTGAAACATGTAAAAGTGAAATGTATTCACGATCACAGAGGTCGACCTTGTGACAAATGATGGTACATTGTGCTTGAGCACGAGTAATAGCTTTAATAAACGTGTGAACAATGAAGGTTTGTCCTTTCTACTGAAGGATGGTATAAAGTTGTTTATAATGCTCCAGATAAATCTCAAGAAATAATGCATCTGTTGGCCTTGTTTATCCTACTCATTCTTGGGTGATTAGGAGGTTAGGCATTCAATGTCGTTGCATGTATTTAAAAAAAAATAGAAGAGGGCCTTCAAGTGGATCGACACAATATAAAAAGGTTATTAAAATAAAAATTTAATATACGTCAAATATGATTTAATGATGTTAGATAATACTTTTTGGCGATGTATAACAGTTGTCGACTCAACAGGGGGTCCTCAGTAATTTAATTCTAACACCTTAACAATCCACACATATCCGTGATTTATAATTTACAAAATTTCATAGTAGAAATAAGTGATTTGCATGTGTAGATTGTATAATAAAAAGCTACATAATATTGTTCTTTTTATTTCATGTTTTTTTATGGATGTTGTTTGTTTACAAGAAATGCAAACGTAGGTATACGCGTCATCCTTAATTTTGTTCGCAAATTTTTCGAAGAAAGAAAATTTGATGTGGCTAGCCCAGATACCATCCGCACATCAGCCAAATTTGTTTCCAATCGGTTCACACGTTTAACCGGAAATGAGAATACAAGCAGACCGACCGACCGGTCGACATCTTCGAGATTTTGTTTGATTCGAATTCCTGGTGCAAAACGTGTATTTCCGTCAAAAAGTGGGGTGTCATTTTTTACCCAAATGCAATACCTCCCTTACTAACGTGAAGGTGGCAAAAATTGATGCGTGTTCACCGTATTGTGCAACATACGTTTTTATAAAGTGTGCGTCATTTAACAGGGGTCAATACAATATCTTGAATATTATTCTTTTTGGATTCATACCTATAGCTGGTTCGGAAATCTATTGCAAAAATTAACATTACGAGGGGAAAATTATTTGAGTACAGGGATTGGTTACGACAACCTTCAAAACTAATATGTAATTGTACTGTTTATTGCTTGATAATATAAGAACACAAAAAAGTCAATATGAAAGGTATTCAAAATGGACATCTCTGGCCATCTCTCATAAGAAGAAAACGACGTCAGATCAGGGGATTGTGATTCCGTATTTCTCCCTCATCCATGAACGTTTGTTGGCTGTCGAATTTGGCACGACTGTAGAACTGCGCTAAATAATCATAGAGATTTAAATTGCCATCATCAAATGGACCTATGAAGGGTATTGCGTATGCTTTTCTGTCTTCCAGTGAGAATTTTCACTAGAAACATTGAATGTACGGTCATTGACGAAAGTAATGATCGCCGATTAGGTAAACCCCGCAGCTTAGGCAACCAACATACCTCCTACCGTACAAAAGGCCCGTAAACTACGTTGGTAGATGTTCTTTTTGGGGTTTTATTACTTTATAATTACCTTATTATCAAGAAATATGAATGAAGTAGAGTATAATGTTTGA